TTCGTGCCTGTGGGGGGGCTGGCGAGGGGTCCGACGAGGAGGTGTGGCAGCACCGTCTGGCGCACCGCGCGGCGGGCGTCGTGGCTGTCAAGCAGAGTGTCGATTATCCAGGACTGCCTGGGGCAAGCCGCGCCGCTGTGCCAGCGAAGCAGCACGGTGGGGGGGGAGGTTGGACCCAAGGCCAGCGCCAGTTCGGCGCCTTGTCTGGACTGTCACATGTCTTGAGCACCCCCTCCTTGGCGCGGCATCCTCGTCGCTCTCCCTCCCCCCCTCCCTTCAGCTCCTCCTTCCTGGTTCCTCCTTCCTCTTTCTCTCTCCCCCTCCTCCTCCTCCTCCTCCTCCTCCTCCTCCTCCTCCTCCTCCTCCTCCTTCGCCTCCCTCTTGGAGGCATGGTGCTTCTTGAGGGCTCCTCGGGGCCCTCTGGAGGCCGCCAATGGTCTGTGAAGGGCCGTCGGGGGGTTCGTCGGGGGTTCTCGGAGCCCGTCCTGAGCGCGCTGTTTTCACCAAAGTTCTCCCATCTTGGGGCTGTCCGAGTGGGAGCTGGGGCCGTCTTGGGGGGGAGCGTTGGCCAGTTTTGACGTCGTGTTTTGGACCGGCTTGGGTCACCTTGGATGCTTCTCGGGGCTCTCCGAAGCTTTTTTCGGAGGCGATATGTTGGGGAAAAGTCCCAGATGCAGGCCACGCGGATGCCTAACAGCAGTCTATGGGGTTCAAGGTGTTTTGCTCAGGGGGGTCGCTGGAGTTCCCTTTCTGGCTTCGCTTGGTGGTTTCTTGGAGGCTCTTGGAGCATCTGAGGGAAATCTACGAGCGCTTGGAGGCTCGTCAGAATATCTTGTCCTGGGGCGTCCTGCTGTCGTTGTTGGACGGTTCCTTGGTTGCCTTGGAGTCGCCTCGGGGCCCCAAAGGGCGCCCTGTCGGGAGGGGGGCAAAAGTAGCATGGGGTGGTGTTCGAAGCGTGTGCGCGACGGGGGGGGGGGAAGGGCGGCCCTGGAAAACAGCAGACGCCCTACCAGAGCAGTAACAAACATGACATGCCCCAGCGTGCCGACGCCACGGTGGCGGACATTAGCGGGGACGCGGACCAGCGCGTCCACAGACGCCCAAAAGCCCAGACCCGAGCGACACTGAGAATAAGCGTGCTTTGGAGAAGGAGCGTGCAGCAGTGGCGGATGGATCTCAAAGGCATGGTGGCCCACCCGCCGACAGCAAGCGGAGCCATGCTCTTCATGAGCGATCGGCAAGATCTGTAAATAAGCCCGTGATGCCACACGCGCTGCGTCACATGGGCTGCACATTCGGGCGGTGCTGCCCGGTTCTGCCTGGAAGGGCTTTTTTTGTGGTGGCCCGTTCTGCGTTTCACGGATGCCTGGCAGCGCCGCGCCCAACGAGCATGTTTTTTAGTTCACCGCCTCACTTCGCACGTGTGTGCAGAGGTGCGAGGCGGGCCAGAAGAAATTCGCTGACACACGTGGGGCGCACCTCCTCCCCATCCTTCTCCTTTTCCACTCTCTCTCTCTCTCTGTCCAAGTCTGCGCAGCTCACTTCGCAGCAGGGGGCGCGTGTCAGTTCCGACCCCTGGTCACTCCCGACTGGAGTGGGCACCGTTGCATGATAATCCAGCGCCATGGCGACGTCGAGTATCATAAAACATGCGCGAGGCCGAGTCTGTCCTTCTTCTCCTCCTCCTAACTCATCCCTCCTCCTCCTCTTTCTTCTTTCCCCTCCCTCCTCTCTCCTCCCCTCACCTCTACTGCTGCTTTGTGGATCGAGAGTGGGCACCCGTCGCCTGCTCAGAGCATCCGAAGGAGGCCGAACGAAGTCTTCGGTGGGCTCGTTCGCCTAATGGTAACCCCGCCCGCCACTCGCGCAGGCGTCCAGCAGCAGGTTTCGTCGCCGAGAGATCGATAGATCGACTTCTCGCGCTCGGCGGAGGGCTGGCGGAAGTACAGTCAAGATTTCAGCATGAGGACATGAGGACCATCCTGGGCTCAGGAGAGGGTGCTGGTTCCGGGCCGCTCCCGAAGTCCTAGGTCGGGGGACCCATTCGTTGCCGAGGCCCGCCGTGTTCAGAAAAAAGGGGCCTTCGTTCCTGATGCCTCGTTCCCTGTGGCAGCACCATGGCCGCAGATCTAGAGCGGCTCCGCAAGGCGGAGGCTGGCGGAAGTGGGAGCTGGCGTGAGCTGACCATCCCGAGAAATCGGTACGGTCGAGCTGGGCACGGCAGGGATGGGGAGGAGGACCGACACGGCAGCTCCTGCCCGCTCTGCCCAGGGCTCGCTGTCGGCGTCGCCGCGGGCGCCGTCCAGGCGAGAGGCACGAGGCCGCCTGCCCAGCAGCGGCCGCTGTCGGTTTCGAGTAACATTTGTTGTGTCGCAGGCCTCGAGGTTGACGCCAACACCAATATCGGCGGTGTGCCTCCACCGAGGGAAGAAGATCCCGATCTCGGTGATGGTGGTACTATTCCCAAGGTGACCGACAACACCGAAATCTAGGATCACCTCCCCCCTGTGGAGGCACCCCCCCGTGTTGGTGTTGGTGCCCATTTCCAGGCCTCCACTTGTGGGGCACCGTGCCCCTGCTCTCCGTACCCATCTCGGGCGTGCTGAAGACTTAGTGGGCCTTGGAAACGACAGGGCCGTTTTTTTACCGGTTCCGTTTTGCCGTTTTTGTTGCCGGTTCCGACGCCGTTTTTTTACCGGTTCCGTCGCCGTTTTTTGACGGGTTCCGGCTCCGGTTCCAATCCTGGAGCCGTTTTTTGTTGCCGTTTCCGGTCACCGTTTTTTTGCCGTTTCCATTTTCCAGGGACATTTTTTTTGGAAACGGTGAAAAAATGGCCCTGCCGCTTCCGGGGCCCACAGAGGCTGAAGAGAGATCAGCGCCGACGTGCCCAGGGCTCTCTGGAGGCCAGGGCCGGCCCGCACCTGCGCCGGGCAGCAAAATCGAGGCAGGCCCCCGGTGGCGCTCAGAGCCGAGACGCCGAGAGAGCTGCCGCCCTGGGCCCGGGCGGGGCTCCGGCTCGCGGGCCGCTGCCGAGGCCTGCCGTGGCCGCAGCGGCAGCACGATGGCCACAGCTTGAGGTCGGGCCTCCGCAGGCAGCGCGGGTGGCCGCAGATCGAGGTCGGCTCGCCGCGCGGTTCGGCGCCCTCACCGCCCACCAAACCACCCCAACCCAACCCGCCGGCCCAAGCTTGCCCTCCATTTCCGGTGGGGGGGGGGACGCGGGGAACACTGCACAAGCCCCCCCCCCACCCCGAAATTGGGATCTTGGGGTCAGCTCGGGGTGGTCTTGCAGGTCGTCAGCGTTCCTGCTGGCGGCGCGGTGGCTGCAAACATCGGCCATCCCAAGACAGACAGCGCCTGCGTGCCCAGGGCTTCCGTGGGCTGGAGCCCGCATCCGCGCGGGCCAGTGCCCGTGGCGCTCCGCGCCCCTGCGCGTTCTCGTCCAGGTCGATGCCTCCTCCTCCTCCTCCTCCTCCTCCTCCTCCTCCACCCCTCCTCCCCCTCCTCCCCTCTCCTCCTCTCCTCCTCCTCCCCTCCTCCTCCTCCTCCTCCTCCTCCTCCTCCTCCTCCTCCTCCTCCTCCTCCTCCTCCTCCTCCCCCTTCCTGGAAGCCCTTCCTCCTCCTCCTCCTCCTCCTCCTCCTGCTCCTCCTCCTCCTCCTCCTCCTCCTCCTCCTCCTCCTCCTCCTCCTCCTCTGGTCGATGCAACATGCCAGCCTCTCTGGTCCAGGTTTCGCGGGCCAGCGGTGCCGCAGCCGCTGCCGCTGCTGCAGGGCCCGCGCGGGCGTGGTCGCCACGCGGCACCCGTTCGTTCCTCGCGCGCCGCTGCGGGAGGCTTCAAGAGCATGTCGCTCGGGCTCTGTTTCTTGTCGTTGTTTGTTTCCCCTCTCCCACCGTCTCTCTCTCTCTCTCTCTCTTTATGTAGTAGTTCTTCTCGTTTTTCGTCCGGGAGAGGCGTGCGATTACGAGCGACGTCTACCTCTTGCTTCGCAAGCAGTTCTGTTAGCAGGTCTAATACGCATCTGGTTGCGGTCCGCGCTGAACTCTGCTGCGCGCGGCGGCGGAGTGTCAGTGTCGTTATAGTCGTCACTGTCATTGTCGGCGCCTCGTGCGCAGTAGCTTGATCCGCTTGTTTACACACTTCGAAGTTTTCGCAGTGGCGATCCTACTTGTTGTTGCCTTGGGGGGTGGCTGGAGCCCCGTCGGGACGTGGCGTGTCCCGACGGTGCCTGGTACGGTCTCAAAGGGTCCGTTCTTGGGCCGATCGACTTGTGCTGGCCTCTCGTGTAGATCTTTACCTCTGCGCCTCCTCCTCCTCTTTCTCCTCCTCCACCTCCTCCTGCCCCTCCTCCTCCTCCTCCTCCCTCCTCCCTCCTGCCCCTCCTCCTGCTCCTCCTCCTCCTCCTCCTGCCCCTCCTCCTCCTCCTCCTCCTGCCCCTCCTCCTCCTCCTCCTGCCCCTCCTCCTCCCTCATCCTCCTCCTCCACCTCCTCCACCTCCTCTTCTTTCTCCTCGTCGTTGTCCTCCCTCCCTCCAGGGTGGATGGGGGGAGGCTCCCCTGGCGGCCTCAGACCTTCGGCAGAGCTCGTTCCATATGTGAGACCCCACGGGTTCTTTTGAGAGTGAAGCTGGCCCCGGAGGGTGTAGGGTTAAGTCGGGCCTGTCCCTGTACAGGAGGGATATTCAAAAATAGTCAAATAATAGTCAGGGGACGATTTTTTTGTTTGACTCTTTTTGAGTATTTCTTGGGTATCTTAGATTTTTGTCCGCTCATTTCGACCCGATTCATCCGAATCGATATCGACGTCGGCCAGCCTGATCCAGCGTGTTCCGACGATCCAATGCGGCCCGATGCTTGCGTGGCGCTGTTGTGCATCCTGGCGCGGCAGATCCGATCCGATTCCGACCCTGCGTCGATGCAGTCCGTTTGGATGCTCATTCTGATCCGATCTGGTCCGATTCTGTGATTCGCTGCTGGCTAGTCCTGCTTTGGCTGCCCGCAGGAGAAGCCAGAGACGGCCGTGAGGTTCCGGCCGCTGCACCAGGGCCTCAACTGGTCGGACGACGTGCTCTGCAGCGACGACGCGGCCGGCTCGACGCCCTTCCTGCTGATGCCGGAGCAGTCGCCATACAGCAGGAGCTTCGGGATCGAGGGGAGGATCTCGAAGAGGAGAGCGGAAAGAGCGCTTTCTGCCGCTGCTGGCAGAGGGATGTGGTCCTGACCCCCCAAGAAAAGACATAGAGGGGGGTTCAGACCCCCTCCGCCCCGCCCACGACGACGACGACGACCACCACCACCACCACGACGACGACGACGAAGACGCACGACGCACGACGCACGACGCCGACCACGACAATGACGACGCTGAAGACGACGACGACCACGATGACGCCGACGACAACGACGACGACGACCTTGAGGACGACGAAGACGATGACGAAGACGACGACGAGCAGACTGCAGTAAGCGTAGAGTAGAGTGTGATAGGGGCAGAGCAGAGGGTAGAGTAGAGTCGAATAGAATACAGTGTAATACGGCAGGGTAGAGTAGAGTGGGGTAGAGGAGAGTAGAGTAGAGAAGGGATGTGTAGCTCATGATAGAGTAGAGTAGAGAGGAGGAGAGACGAGTAGATAGGCAGAGTAGAGCAGCGAGATAATAGAGTAGGGCAGAGCAGAGCAGAGTAGAGTAGAGTAGGAAACCAGTAGGGTTGGAACAAGGTGGAGTAGAGTAGAGTATTTTAGGCCACGGTAGAGTAGAGAAGGACAGAGTAGAGCAGGGCATAATGTATTAAACTAGCGTAGAGGAGAGTATGGTAGAACAAAGTCGATCAGGAACGTAGTAGAGTAGAGCAATAACAACGTGGAGTAGAGTAGAGTAGAGTAGAGTATGTTTGGGTACGACCGGGTAGAGTATATTCACTTATATAAGAGTAGGGCAGAGTAGAGTAGAGTAGAGTAAATTAGAGTGGAGTATGGTAGAGTAGAGGAACGTAGAGTAGAGTAGAGTAGGGAAGAGTAGGACAGAGTACAGCATGGATTTCGTAGGATACTGATAGAGCTGGGTCGAGAGCTGGCGACACGTACTCGCCGCCGCCGCTGACGTCGTCGTCGTCGTCGTCATCGTCGTTATCGTCGTCGTCGTCGTCGTCGTCGTCGTCGTCGTCATCGTCGTCGTTGTCGTCGTAGTCGTCGTTGCTGGGGCGAGGGGGGGGTCCTGGACCCGCCCGATGATTTTTCCTTGGGGTGGGTGGGGTTGGGGGGAGGGGGGAGTCGCTGGACCCCCCTGCCATCATTTTCCCGAAAGGGGGGGGGATGAGGGGGTATCAGGACACCCCCCCCCAATACTTTTCCGGGGGGGGCGGGGTTCAGGACCCCCTAGGTTTTCTTCCAGGGGGAGGGGGAGATGGGTGGTTGGGTGGGGTTTGGGGGGGGGGTTTGACCCTCCTCTTGGGTTTTTTTGTAGGGGTGGGGAGGGGGGGGGGAAGTGCCGGATTGCCCCCTTGGTTTCTGGCGGTTTCTGGGCCCCCTGGCAGAATGTTGTCAGGCCGGTGACGGTGCATCGCGCCCCCCCCCCCTCAGAGAACACGGCATATGGCACATCGGAGGAGGATTCGGCCTGCCAGCAGGTGCCCCACAGCACTGTCCATAGCCCCCGCTGGCCCCAGGGACCATACTGTGCCCAGGACTTTCTTCCATCACGGTGTTCGGTGGCGAGCCCGGGGGGGGGAGCGAGAAAGGGGCGGGCCTTCGCAGAGGGCTCGGACGTCCCCCCGGGCCTTCTGAGAAGTGTTTCTCAGCTCTCCCCGAAGACGCAACGAAACAGAAGTCCCTCTGCCTCCTGAGAAGGCCTTTCCCTTCTCGTTTCCCCCCCTCGCTCGCCGCCGAGATTTCTTATCTTATGTGCGCGTCGGCTTTACAGACTGTATACACAGACAGGAACTTTCGGAGGTCCGCGCGGACCTCCAATGCTCCTGTTCCTGCTGCTGAGATCGGTGCTCCAGTCACCGAGCGCGTTCCACGACTCGCAGAGCGCCTACTCGCAACCGCCCCACAAAGAATGGATGTCCTCCCCGATGCCATCCATCGCAGGCCCCCCGCGGCGGATCCAGGCTATTTGCGAGCAGCGCCCGTCCATCCGGGCTCTGGGCCGCTCCGGGGGCCCTCTCCGGGGGTGCTGGGCCCCTCCCGCCAGGCGGCCTCCGGTGGCCTCCCCAGACACCCTCGCGCTGCGACGAGGCCACGGCGGGCAGTTTCTGCTTGCTCTTCTCTCGGCATCCGGGGGCCCCTCCCGGGTCTCGGGACCATCAAAAGACGACGCGTGGATGAAAAAACGGACCCCGGGAAGGGGTCCAGACCTCTGGGGATCGACGCTTTCATTATCATCACTCTTACGTAGCACCCCGCAATTGCGGATAAGAGTGAGGGGGCGGGCGCGGGCGACGCGGGCGTCGTCAAGCCGGCGGACCTCGTGGCCTCCACCTTCCCTGTCGATGGCGCTCTCCTCCTCCTCCTCCTCTTCCTCCTCCGCCTCCTCCTCCTCTTCCTCGTCCTCGTCCTCGTCCTCATCGTCATCGTCGTCCTCCTCCTCCACCTCGTCCTCCTCCTCCTCCTCCGCTTCTTCCTCGTCCTCCCTCTGCCCCCCTCGTCCTTCCATCATCGTCCTCCCATTGTCGTCATGTTCCTCCTCGTCGTCCTCCTCCTCTTCCCCCCCTCCCGATCCTCCCCCCTCCTCCTTTTCGTCGTCGTCGTCGTCGACGTCGTCGTCGTCCCCTTCCTCGCCTCCTCCTCATCCTCATCCTCATCCTCCTCCTTCTCCTCCTCGTCCTCCTGCAAAAGCAGCCCGCCGCAGGCGCCGAAAAATTTGGTTTGTACACTGAACGTGGTTTGGGTCGCGGGTGGGCCGCGGGTTCTCCACCGGGAACGAATGCAAAAGATGCCCGCCGCAGGCGCCGAAAAATGTAGTTTGTACCCTGAACGTGGTCGCGGGTGGGCCGCGGTCTCTCCACCTAGAACGAATGCAAAAGATGCCCGCCGCAGGCGCCGAAAAATGTGGTTTGTACCCTGAACGTGGTTTGGGTCGCGGGTTGGTCGCGAGTTGATCGCGGGGTGGGTCGCGGGCTCTCCACCTGGAAGGAATGCAAAAAAAGCCCGCCGCAGGCGCCGAAAATGTTGGTTTGTACCTTGAACGTGGTTTGGGTCGAAGGTGGGTCGCGGGTGGGTCGCGGGGTGGTCGCGGGTGGGTCGCGGGTGGGTCGCGGGTGGGTCGCGGGCGGGTCGCGGGTGGGTCGCGGGGTGGGCCGCGGGCGGGTCGCGGGGTGGGTCGCGGGTGGGTCGCGGGTGGGTCGCGGGTGGGTCGCGGGGTGGGTCGTCGCGGGTGGGTCGCGGGTGGGTCGCGGGTGGGTCGCGGGTGGGTCGCGGGGTGGGTCGCGGGGTGGGTCGCGGGTGGGTCGGGTGGGTCGCGGGTGGGTCGCGGGTGGGTCGCGGGGTGGGTCGCGGGTGGGTCGCGGGGCGGGTGCGGGTGGGACGACGACAACAACACAACAACAACAACAACAACAACAACAACAACAACAACAACAACAACAACAACAACAACAACAACAACAACAACAATTACTAGCACGTGGGGACACTCCGTTCTCACCAGTGCCAGGGTTTTCATAGGAGGCGGGCAATACCCCCACTTTGTGGGGGGGCCGGTTCAAGCTCTACCAAATTTCCAAACGACTCTTCGCCACCACCCACACCCAGCTTCCCGCCCTATGACGTTCGGACACTTCACTTCGTGGCATGCGGACGACCGTGGCTACTATTCAGGGCCCCGCGGCCGACGACGACGGCGTGCGCGCGCGAAGAAAAAACGAATGTGTCCCGCATGGTATTATTTGACAGGGATGATGGCCCTGGCAGGTGCGCAACCGTTGTGCAGAAGTTCGAAAAAGTTGCTCGCAAAAGCCCGTTTGACAGAAATGTTTAAAAAGTGTTGGGTTTCCTACGAATCCGCAAGAGCGCGCGGGATGAAATTTCGACAATTTTTTTTTGAAAAACCATTGGTTTTTTGATGTTTTTATGTTAAAATCGCTACGAAAACTAAGGTTTTGGAAGGATTTCGTCTTGCGCGCGCGAATGTCCACTTTACTTTATTTTTTGCAAGGGATTCTTGAAGTTTGGTTATGTTAGAACAAGAAATGTCATTTTATATTGTTTTTTGCAAGGGAAAGCGGGGGGGAACAAAACAACCGGATCTGGATCACATCGTTTTACCTGAGGGTTCCTCACGAAAATGATGAAAATGTGGCTGCGGCCTAGGCGCGGCGGGGGGGGCGCGCACCAGGGGCCCCAACAATAATTATTCTTAAGAAGAAATAATGTTCAACAACAACAACAACAACACGAATCCGCACCGCGGAATCTCACTTCAGCCACGCACCCAGGGACAGTGAATGACCGTTCGGCCCCCTCACTCTGATTATTGTCATTCGGAGGTTGGGGGGTGACATCGCAGTGGAACGGAGACCCACAACCGGGAATTCGTTTCGTTTCGTTCGTGCGTGCGGGCGAGGCGAAACTGCGTGGGCGCGCGAAGGGAATGAACCCGCCGTTGCTAGGGCGAAGTCAAGACAAATGATTCTCCTCCGTCCGTCCGTCTGGCGGTGGCCCCAGCGGTGTCCCGCGATGTCCCGTGGTGTCCCGTGGTGTCCCGTAGTGTCCGCCGTTGCCAGAGCGAAGTCAAGACAAATCATTCTCCTTCGCCCGTCAGTCCGGCGGTGGCCCTAGCAGTGTCCCGCGGTGTCCCGTGGTGTCCCGCGGTGTCCTGTGGTGTCCGCCGTTGCTAGGGCGAAGTCAAGACAAATGATTCTCCTCCGGCCGTCCGTCTGGCGGTGGCCCCAGCGGTGTCCCGTGATGTCCCGTGGTGTCCCGTGGTGTCCCGTGGTGTCCGCCGTTGCCAGAGCGAAGTCAAGACAAATGATTCTCCCCCGCCCGCCCGTCCGGCGGTGGCTCGCGGTGTCCCGCTGTGTCCCGTGGTGTCCCGTGGTGTCCCGTTGAGTGAAATCGATAGTGAGATCGATCGGAGGTGAGTGGGTGAGATCGAAGGGGAACGGAGAGCCCCCCTACCGGGAAATCGGTTTCGGGCGA